GGAGGGAGCGGAGGGCAAAGCGTCTGGTGGTACGCGCGGAGGGGTTTCGCGGGGGCCCTCCGTAACACGGGGGGTAGGGGTTGCCGCCCCTCTCGCGACGTCAGCCCCGCCAACGTGGTCGCGAGGAGCGGGGGCCGGGTTACCCCCTCTTCTCGTGCCGCGAGGTTCCTATGAATTTTGCGACACTCAATAAAAAGTGGTTCCACGAGGTTAACATTTCGGTAACTATACCCTCGCCTACCCGGGGCGCGCACGCACGTATCGCACGACGACAACGACGGGATCGGACGGACGCGCGTGTACACATTCACGTGCATCCACGTACGCGCTTACGTACGCATATACGGGCGCATATACACTCTCTCGCTCGTCCGCGAGCCCGCCGGCTCGCTCTCTCCCTCTCGCGCTCCTTCTCTTTTTCGCGTACAGAGCCGCTCTTCGGCGTACATCACGGGGCTACGCACGCACACGCGAGGATCCGCACACGCGCGTGCACAAGCGGGCGGCACACGCTCGTGTTAAAAACGAGGGAAGCGAGAGAGGGACAGGAAGAACGGAGGGAAGGAGAAAGAAAAAGAGCTCTCCGTATACGAAAAGAGAGAGAGAGAGAGAGAGGGGAGAAAGAGGGAGAGAGCGAAAGAGAGAGAGAGACAGAGTGATAGAGGGAGAAAGAGAGAGAAAGAAAGAGCGACACACGCGAGCGCGGGCGCGCGCTCGCGGGCTCTCGGCACGCATACATGCACGTCGCGCGCGCACGCATACCACAGGACTGCCGAAAAAACTGCACGGGAGAGGCGCAGCAACGGGCAAACCGAACCGCGCGCGAATCAAGTGCTTTGGCCAGTCGCGTTCCCAATCACTCTACGACTAGGTAGTCCCCCGGTGTGTCCCAAAGAAGCGGTGAGGAGCAGCTGGGTCCTTCGGTCCTCGACGTGGTCGGCGCGCAAGATACAATACACGCAGGACATTCTAAACGCTCGGACATCATCATCGCTCTTTCGCGAGCCTTGATCCTGCGGCGCGTGTTACACGTTAGAGGTGCGTTTTGTCCCCTCGATCGAATTCTGGTTTTTTTTTTCTTTTTCCGTTTTCTTCGTTCGCCGACGAGACCGACGGGAGAACTGCGATCTGCGACGATCGACGACTGACACGGATCGATTCGCGAAATAGTATCACACGCTTGGTGTCTGGCATCATCATCATCATCATTATCATCATCATCGCCGTTGGGAGGAAGGAGTGTGCGTCTTCTGTTGTACAGCTGGAAGTCGACGCCACCGAAGGACAAGGCGGAAAAGCAGTGCGCGCCCATGCGTGTATCGACGGGATCGCGAGTACGCGTTACGGTGATCCAGTTACGCGCGTTCTACGCGAGGGGAGGAGGGAAAGGGAGAAACCTTGAAGAGAAGCGATCCTACGTCACGGTGTGAGTGGTGCTTATGCTACGGTATACACGCGATTAAATCTCGTCTGACGTTTTCGTTTTTCTCCCCTTTGTTTTTTTTGTTTTCCTCTCTCTCTCCATCGAGTCTCGGGGAGACCGACGAATTTTCGAACGCGCCGAAACGGCACCCGCCGGGGCAGAGGAAGAGCGAAAGAAGAGGAAAGTGCGCCACGTCGATTTCCGGAACGCGCGCGCGCGCGTGTTCAAGAAGAGAGAGAATAACGGAGGAAGATGTGGAGCGCGTGCAAAATCACTCGCGTGTAAGATTCTTTTCGGCACGGTTTCCCGCGTGACTTCAGTATCCAACGATGAGCCCGAGTGATCTTTGTGAGACAACGTGAGAATTTCAGTCAGCCGAAACTCGGAGACACGCGACCGTTCTTAACGTTTCACCCATCAAGGACCCTATATGCGATTCGTTCGGTTTCCGTCAACGGAAGAGATCGTAGAGCGCACTCTTCAGCTTGGACGACTCGGAGACGGGGGACGGCGGCTAGGAGAAAAAAGCGTGAAGAGAACAAGAGACGGACGCATCATTCTCCGCGGTATTTGGGCGTTGGAAGAATCGCTGGAGGTTAAAGAGGAAAAGTCCGCTCTCGACGTGTCGTCGTCGTCGTATCGGGGCATTAGTACCACGGGACTCGACGACAAGGACGCCGGGCAAAGGAGGTCCACACTTCACTTCGCGCTTGACGATCAAGGTACGTCCACAGCTGAGACCGGTGGCCTTCGGCCGCCTGTGCGGCTTCCACCGTGTACGCGGTCGCTAGAGACAGAGGAGGAAGTTTCGGGAAGACAGAGAGGAAGGGAACGGAGTAGAGAGAGATAGAAACCGGGGTAGGAGGAGGGGGGGCGGGAGACGGGTGAGCGGATGAGAGAGAGAGAGAGAGAATGTGTAAAAAGTTTCGGGAGGGGGCACTTGAAGGGGACGGACGGGAGAAAAATAAAAGAAAAAGATAGATAGAGAGAGAATGCTTGTGCGTATGCAAGGGTGAGTACACGAAAGAGAGAGAGAGATAGACAGAATGTGAGAGAGGGGCAGAGAGGCGAAGAGAAAGAACGAGCGAGCGAGACAAGAGAGACGAGAGGGGGCCGAGGAACGTTTGCATGTCTGTCGCGCGAGTCATATAGCGCTGTACGTGCATGCAAATATGCAGGCGAGTGTCCGCGTGCACATGCACCAATACGCGCGCGAAGGAGAGAGAGAGCGAGCGCGCGGCGGACGTACAAGCGTGCGATTGTATGCGGCGTGAGACACGTTCGCCGTTGAACACCTAGTTAGCGGCGTCGCGCTAGAGTACGTGCGCGTGTCCTTTCATGATTCCGCACATGGTGACGTGTCTCCTATGTGCCCTTGCCTGTACATGCCAGACGGCGGCGACGAGTGTAGCGGCGTTAGTACCGTTTAGACTGGCGCGGCTAGACTCGCGCTAGACGAGGATAATGCCAGACGTTAGAGAGTGCCTGGCACATGACGTAATCCCGTCGCTCTCTGTGTGCCGCGAGAGGCGCTCGATCCTCGTTTGTCGTCCGTCGCTCGGGGCCGTGCCACGGCCGTGCCACGGTCGCCGCCGCGCCGCGTGTACGCGTTCAATTCTACGCGTTCACTCTCGTTTTCCACCGCACCACGCCTCGTCTGGCGCTCTCTCGCCGCGTGGGAGTTGTCGTTTTTTTTTCCCTTCCCTTTTTTTCTCTCCTTTTTTTTTTTTACATACGCGATTTCGTCACGTTGCCACGCTGCGCCGTGTACGCGCGCGCAAGCCACTTTTTTCCACATTCACCGACCGCACGAGCGATCGCGTGCTTTTTTCCATTTCTTTCCCGGAGCATAGTGAATTTCAGCACCTGCGAGTATATATGTCTATATATATATATGTATATAGTGGAGCACGTGCGTTTTCTACGAAGGACGTGTAATCTTTGTGATTTTCGCCGTCCGAGAGAGACGCGAATCTTGAGAATCCGATTGGGCGGGGTTGACCGCTCGCGGTGTGATATATTTCGCTCGCACCTGCGATCCGCGAGAGAGTCTTTTTTCGGAAAAGCAATCCGGCTGTACGGCGCTCGGAGGTTGACGAGCGTTCCCTATTTTTACGAGCGACGCACAGGTTTGTTGCACAGCCGCGCGGCAAGTTGAAAACACCGGCGGACCTAGGTATAAATAGACCTCGCGAGTACCGCATGTCGGGGAAAGAGAAAGAAACAACAGGAGAGAACGGGGATATACGGCGACTGATGCAGTACGAGAGCGGTTGCGGACGACCGGGGGATGGGGGGGAGGGGCGCAGCGTCTGGTAAAAAATAAGAAGCGGCTCGATGCGTGCGTTCTTGAAAAAATTTAGCCACCGCGTGCATTCGCTACGTGCGCGCGCGCGTACGGCGATAAAATTTTCTGCCCGCTCCGTGCGAAAGCGATTCTCTCGAGGACGCTCAGCTTCGAGTACAAAGCTGCAGTCGTACGTAATCTCTTTTATTAGCAGCGTCTCTCCGCTCGCCTCGATCGCAGAAATGATCTCGCGATTTGCTCCTCGCGCGTATTCGCCCCGACGCTTCTTATCTGCCATTCCGCGGCTTGGAGATCGGCTTGTGTCGCCGGTACAAAATCAGCCGTACGTCATTCTTCAAAGTACGCAACAGCCCGTATCGACGAATCGCCGGTTCGAATCCGCCGTTCGGCTCGAGTACGGCACACGATCGATACGTATCGATACGTCGTGGAAATTGGCGCGCGAAGCGCCGGCTATCTTAACTTTCTTGGAAGCACCTGCGAGAGAAAAGGGGTGTATCCGATAACGGTGCGTTCTCCTTGAACCGTAACGGACGTCGAATCTCACCCGTTACTCCCGTTCTTCCTTGCTCTCAGTAATGGCTGATGTTCCTCCACACCCCCCCCCCCTTCCGATCTCGAGCTCTACACAAATAGAAATTGTTGCGGCCACGATATCGAGTTGTCGCGAGCATATATCGTATCTATCGCATTATCCGTAGTTTACTCGATCGTATTCTCTACTTATCGCCCACCATATCTCGCAGAATTGTCAACACCGGCGGGTCTTATCTCGCGCGCACATAGACGCGAGGAATTCGAGCAGACACAGGTGAAGGTACCGAATGGAGAGGATATCATACGGAGGATAGGCTGGTTGGAGGAAGAAGAAGAAAGCGAATGATTCCCGGACTCGGCTCCGTGACGTTCGCTGCGCAAACTTACTTTATCGGGCGTTCTAGCGCGATTCTACGAACACAGACGCGCGTTCGCACGTGCAAATATGCGTAATACGAATCGGTCGATTAGATTGTACGCCTAGTAACTAGATTACGTCGCGGCGGCCGCGTTATCTGCGAAATTAGAGACCGACGGGCGAATGCGTTATTTAGGCGCTCGCACGGACAAACGCGGTTGGGAAATGGTCGGCGATTCGGCTGACGCGACGAGTAACGAGGCTTACGATATATTCTGATATACTCGATCCTGTTGTTCGTGCAACTCCTGTATTCATTTCTCGTATCATTGATATTAACGTTGCGCTCTCGGCGAGTCCCCCGTGTGTGTGTGTGCGTGTGTTTTCGCGGGGACTCGCGAATTAGAATCGGGGAGATTATCGGTACGATACGATCTCGTAACCCTATTAAATTTAAACGTTCCTAAAGGCGCGCGCGAGACGTTCCCGACGGTGCGATCGATAGCGATCGATGCGCGAGAACTCGCGCGTGCATCGCGCGAGTTTGATAAAATTAACAAAGCGAATTCATTCACCGAGCCGGCGCAGCGCGCGCGCGAATCAATCGAATAAATTCCCGCGCGCATCGATACAAGACGGCGATTGAATTGCATATGTCGCGCGCGTGAATTCAGGTGCTCGACGACTATGCGGCCGCATGTCGCGCGTTAAAATTCGCCTCTCTTAGCACCGGCAGGGAGAACAAGATTTCCTCTTCTTCTTTTATCACGATGGGCAAAACCGTGGGAGACGTCTCGATAAATCCCCCCTTTAAATATCGATTTTCTGTGTCTCGGTATACTCGCATCCGTGCTCAGACCGCGATCGATCTCGACGATTACCGAGGGACGTTTTCTAGTTATCGCAGACGCGATATAGTCCGCGATACGGCCGTTATCATTTTCCTTTACCGCGATTTGCAAAATCGCCTATCGGCGGCTCGATCAAATTTCGGGAAAAGAAAGAAGAAGAACGTTATCGTTCTAATCGCGATTTACCTTCTCGCGCGCGCAATCGGCGAAACAGCCTTCTAGTTATCTCGCGCGATAGTCTCACGGGCGATTAGCATCTCCGTTACTTCCTTTATCGCGATTCGGTAAGTCGCGTGGCGTCGTGTGACGTCGTACAGGGAAATACAAGAAGGTCAAAATGTGGACACAATGCGACGAGAGAGAGAGAGAGAGAATCGCTTTATTTAAGCCGACTCTCTCGAAATGTGCGCGTCAGCTGATCGTGACGAATCATATCCGAGAATCGATCAAGTAGTTACCGCGACGAGAGTATACGGCCCGGGGTATTTATGCGAACGGCCACGCGGTTCCTTCCTTCGGACTCGCCTCGTTCTTTGTTTCGTGCATTATGTACGCGCATGTGCACATGCGCACGCCCACATCCGCGCGGCGAAAAAATGCGGACGCGCGCGCGCGCGCCTGTGCGTGTGTGTGTCGTCGCGTCGCTAGTGTCCCGAGCGTATGAATTAGGCGGCCACCAGAAATAGGCTGTTGTGAAAAAAAGAGTCACGGCCCCAATTTCTTTCTTTCGCAAGTCGCCGGCGAGTCGCCTCCGTCGCGCATCGACCGATCGATTTTATCACACATTCCACGTTGCAAATTACATAGCGAACGCGGTGCAACGCGAAATTGCGAAATCCGTCCCCGTTCGTCGCGGATAAACGATCGTCCCCGGTGATCTCGCCTCTCAACAATCGCACGAGCAGTGCCTTACCCGAACCGTCCAAGGTCACTCCCTGAACCGTGAATCGTCGAGCGATCCGCGACAAAGAGGAGCGAAGAGTGGATGTGAAAAAGAACAGTGAATCGTTCCGCGCGCAATGATTCGCGCGTGTCGAAAAACGGGACGGACGGGACGCACATGTTCCGTTTGTGACGACGATTTCGCCTTCTCTTCGTCTAGGATCATCTAGACGGCCGGTTGGAAGCGACGTTCTTAGCTAGCTCGAAATGCCGCTCTTCACGTAATCTTGTTAATCGTGCTGCACGCGTGGATGAATCGCTGCAGGTGCGTCGTCTAGTTTCGTCAAACTTGTTCGCACGCTCGAGGTCGGGAGAGTGCTCGTCTGAAAAAATTTTCGCCAGCGGCGCGATTCCTCGCTTCGCGCGATCCGCTTTTAAACCGCGTCATAAACACGTAGGAACCTCGCAGCCCGATGCAGCCGAGTGTCTGCGCGTTACAATTAAAAATATAGCCGCTGACCTGTTTTCCGTATTTTTAAGCGCCGACGGAAATATTCGTGGATCACCGTGTCGCGATTAATCGCACGGAATATATCGCGCCGGCAAGTAGGTCGGAAACGACTCGAAAATCGACGGTCGATCGACGATCCCATCATCTTTTGTCGCCATTATCGAACGACATCTCTCATTTCTCTTTCCCCTCTCCTCTTTGCACGCGCTCGCCTTCGTCACACTTTTTACTCTGTTTCAGACGAGACGCTCACCCATCTGATCGAAACGCGGCCG